CAAACTGGTGAACTAATTGGAGCAGGTTACAGGAGTAATCGGAAAGAGTCCTGCGAGATTAAAACGAAGGGTTTCGCTAGCAACCCAGATTTCAGAGCCTCAACCTGTACACCGAGAGCAAGAGAGGTGGCTCAAATGGCCCGTGATACACCACGGTCCTTCAGATCAGACAGCACGTGCCACGTTCGCCTTACGTCTTTTTCCTGCAAGCTTATCTGCTAGCTTCCTAAGTAACACTGTTCACACAGATACTGATCTATAAAGGGTTATAAATACATGTATTTATATATATTCACACGTTTTAGTCCTGTAACAAAGGTCTACTCCTTTCTCTTCTGAGCTGCTGGAGCAGCTGCCAACACTGATGGCACTGGTGGCTGTTCTCAGAAGTAATTGTGTCTACACCAATCCTCCAGAGAAAGCATCAGAAAGCAGATTACTACTGAAAGGAGAAGCGGTTGGCTCAGCTCAGTCCCATAATTACTATATACAGAAAAGAAACCCCTTAGACACAAAGTCCCATCTTCCCTCCAGCTCGCAAACCAATTCTGCTCAGCCCAGCTGGGCAACTCATCTTGGAGCCTACGCAGCTCAACCAGGGTAACGCAGATAAACATGAGCATCATCCAGACATTTACATTTGTAGGCAATAAACAACAAGCGGCATGCAACGGTTTTGTTAGAGAAGTCAAAACAGTCAATGGCTTTAACATTAGAAGTGTGTCCTGATGTGGTAAAGTCAACATGCTGACAGAGGAGACGTACCCAAGAGCAGGTTACTCCGTTCCTGTGACCTCAGCAAACATGCGGCAGTTAGTTTAACACAAATTAAAAAGAACCACACATCTGAAGTGCACCAAGACCACCAGATTCAGAAAAATTATTAATCTATGTTTACAATAAATATTTCCTTGCAATGGGTTTTCTCCTAGAACACGATGTATTTTCTTGGAAATGAGAATAGGGGTGCAAGAGGGAAGCTGCGGTGCTTTGCAAAAGGCTTCCCCCCACCAGGAAAATGAAAAGTTGCCCGTCCCTGTCTCTAAGTTAACACTAACAGCAGCATCGATAATCAACACTTTTTATTTAAATGCCAATCTTAGTTTCCTAGAAAAGGAGTGGTTATGGATTAGATTCAGCAGATTGCTGTAAAGCCTCTTTTGGATCAGTATCAAACGTTCTTCAGCTTGTGGACGTCTTACATTTAAAACAAGCTTAAAAGCAAGTCTTCAGCAATTCCTACGTGAAGTCTACAGGGGCTGAAGGAGCCAACGTCTCCTCCCACGTACTTACACTGCCCGTCTGCCCTCTCACAGCAATCGGGACCTTGGTTCAGAGAATTTGCTTTTGCACACTAGGAAACTTCAAAACAGACCTGGCAATCCATGACCACTCCTGCCAACTCCCAGATCACAGCTACACAACAACACACAGCGGGATTAACACGACGGTGGCGGGGTGTCCCTCCCCGGGACAGCAAACTACGCAGATCAAAGACCAGGACAAGGAAGATGCAGCAGAGGCTACAGCCAAGAAATTCAGGAGCTTTGGTCTTGAGGTTTCAACACGACCCTGTTGCCACTCAGAGAAAGAGCAGCCACCAAACAGTCAGTGCTATGACCAGGAGAAAGGACATCATAAAGGGAATACGTGGAGAAGGAAAAATGCTAGAGTACAGCTGACACTTTTTGAGTGATTTCTGCTCTTCGGGAATTGGAATAGAAACCTTTGGAAGAGTTTCTTCACTTGCTTGCTGGGGAAAGGCTGTCTCAGTAGGTATCTCCTGCTTTTTTAGTTTGTCTTCATCCTGTACTAACAGAGGACGTTCCTGTGTCTGCTTTCGTGGTAGAAGATCAAGAAAGACAGAGAGAAATGAACAAAAATGACAGATGGAAAGTGCCCAAAATGATACTTGGAGGTGTGCAAAGCGTTAGGACAGCCTTCTTAACGTAAAAATAAACTGCCCTGGAGAGCAGAGCCGCTGGTGGCTTGGGTCGCACCAGCTTTAGAACTACAAAATCTAGTCCTCCCTGCAGAGCTCATGAACATCTGGATCATGATCACACGTGTTTTGTGCTTGCCCTCCCAGAAAAGCACATGCTCAAAACCTACTGAAGTGCTTTGGAATTGGAATGGTTGAGAAAAAAGTTTGAGGCATTAGAAATAGAAATGGTGTAGTACAAAATGTGGTCTTTGACAGCTTCCTATTCTACAGTGCCCTTAAAAAATAGCGTTTGCTAAATATCGTTGAACATCCAGACTGCAGTGCAGATACAAAATGCTTTTTCAAAGTTCTGATGACAGTATCAAAATTTCGATTATTTTGAAAATTCTACTTGAACAAGTGAAAAACTGTTACGTCTTAGAAATCCCGAGCGTGACAGGATGGCAGTAGGAGCATCGCACACTCCTTAAATTTTGCTCCGTGTTTTAGGACTTTTGTTTCTGGAGTTTAAAGAATGTAAAAAAAACCCAGAATGAGTAAATCATCACAAAGGATCATGCAAGGGCTCTAGCACTTCCGTTGAAGAAAGAAAAAATTGTGGGAAACGTTGCTGTTTAGTAACTCTCCATCCCTTTAGTTTGCCAGACCTGGTCAAAGCCAAGTGAACCTAGGAGAGGAAAAACTTGGCTCTAAGCTCTCTCAGTTGAGCTAGCCTCCTTTGATCAGTGCGGTATTTTGGGACTGGTTCTTTGCACACCCCTAAGTGATGAGTACTGGGGAGAAAGTAGCTGGGAGACTGGGCAGCAAAAGAAAATATAAAATGCAAGAGTAACATGATCATTGAAACAAAAAACAGAAAAAAAGACAACATAAAAAGAACAGGGTACAGTTAAACTTTCATAATTGCTTTTCTCTCAAATACACGGTTATATCTTTTCATGCAGCTTTTTCGAACCAGCCATGCACCAAAATAAGCAAAATCGAAAGCTGCAAAAGCTGCAGCAGCGCAAAAGTCCTCTTGGTGTGAGTTATGAAACTACTTCATGTAGCCAAAAGAAAAAATGTTATCCAGCAGCTGCTCTTGAGTTTTTGCTTGGTGCCATTGCAATAGCAAAAGTCTGGTTCAGAAGCACATATCAGAACAGCAGCTTTACCTCAAGCCCACCAACCTGTCTCTCAGAAGATAGGACTGTGACTTTCTTGACCTGGACACACAAAGCGTGTTAAGATTCAGTTGTCTTGCAATAAAACATACCGGAACAGAGAAAAGCACCCTTGGCAGAATACCCTTGGGCCACTCCAGCAGGGTGAAGATACCACCACGAACAGGAGAAACAGGATTGCTTTGCACCGTGATTTACCACCCTTAAGCACAGGCAGGGGAAGGAAAGCATCCTCCCTGGTAGGTGCCTGGCAAAGATGCATTTCTGGAAGGTCACAGCAGAACGTGTCCACCTCCACCTCAGAGAAAGACCGCTTCAGAGAGGATCAGATTAAGAGGGAATTTCCAGAAATGCAAATCCAGGACTGACACCAATCCTTGCATCGCTGTGGACCACTGTGGCCTCAGATGGGGAAAGCCCACTGCACCCAGTTGTCATGAACAGCAGCCCCCCAAGACCTCACGTGCAGTCACCATGCAAGAAATTCTTCATAACTAAGAACAGTATTGAACTGCAGTTGTGGAGCTTGAGAGCCCCTGCTCTATCCCACCCGCACATCCACGGACCGCGTGGCAGCATGGGCAGAGCTCTGCGTTGCCCTGCATCGCCCCGCTGCCCAAATTCCTGCAGAAATTACACTGAGACTCAGACTCAGCAAGCAAAGACTCAAGTCGATCCATGGGTAATTCCAAGGATAACAACCAATCCCGAGTAGTTGATTTTGGGTGTTGGGGTTTTTTTTTTCCTAACAGAGGAAAAAAAGCCCTGTAATTGTCATGGCCTTCCTCTGTGCTTTGAGGAGCTGGTAGTAAACCTGGCTGCTAAAACCCCTTGTACCTGTTACAATAACCCTCCCTCCACTGCAAGATGATTTCTGTTTAAAAAGTATCTCCCTTGCAATGGCTTGAAGATTAAATGCAAGCTTATCTGCAGCGCTGTGGGTAGGAAGGGGAAAAGCTAGGCTTAAACCAGGAGAGACTCTACAACTGTCACCACCGCAGCCAGGATGCAATTTTTCAGTTGTAATGAAAAATCACATTTATTACAGGCTCTAACTATAGGTTTTACTCACAAGCTTCGACTTTGAGCTAGGTAACACCAATATTAAACAGAGAAGCTGTCTGTTATCCAAAAAGAAAACAGTTGGCAGACAGGTCTCTGCTGCTCCAACTTGGTTTCTTTGGAAAATTACCTTTTTAAGGAAATTAGCAGAGAAACTGTGCATGTATTATGCGGCTACTAACATGCAGGCACTGTTCCTGTAAGGAGAAAGATTTCCATCACGTACGAACAGCCCTGCTGTAGCCACCTGAGGAGTCTTCTTGAAGCCTCCACAGCAGATCAGCACCTGCAGATTCTAATGCAAGACTAAACCCAATGACATACTGAATTAACTGGAGAATAAAGTGACTTTTGAAAATTGATACCACCCTAGTGCTTCTTCATTGAGCTATCTGCAATATTATCTCTGAAGTAATAATTCCCTTTAACTTAGGTGTTTGGGTTTCGGGGTTTTTTCCCCCACATTTTGGGGAGATGCATTCCCTGGCACCAGGAATAAGCCAGTCCCCAAAAGAGCCACGTGAAATAAAGTCTAGCATCATGGATGACAGCAACGCTAGGAAAGGCAGCATCAAAACCAGGTGAAGAATTCCTAGATTCTTTTCTACCAAAAAAACCCAACCAAACAAAAAAAACACACCCACGTTTTTATGATACTGACTAAAGCATTGATTCTCTCAGAGGCTATTATACGTGTTAGAAGTCAATATTAACTATTAAAATTCAATATAACTGAAAACTAAGGGCAACTCAGGCTGAATCCTAGGTCACAAAGCTGTCCCTTGGAACAGTGCAGTGCGCCGACACCCACGCGCCGCCAAGGTACTCACTCCATCCGCTCCCGTGGGAATCTGCCCGTTGACGTTGAGGGTTCGGAAAGGGGAGTGAGTGGACAAGCGTTTGTCCCATTCACTCGGCCGAGGCTCCGGGACGGACTCCATAAAGTTTTTCTTCAACTCACTGATGTTGGCGTGATGCTTCTTTATTTCTTCTTGGGTCTTATCTAGATCCTATTAGTAAAAGGACAGGATAAATGAAGGGACACGGAGATGACACCGGGGATTGCCTACGCTGCCGCATAGCAAAGCTGCGCTCAGCAGAGCTGTTGCTGACTTCCATCAATTGTGCTCACACTGCAAACACACAAAGGGAACGTCCTCTCTCCTCTTTCCTCTTGCATTAATTGGGATAAACTGCAATCAGCACGGAGCGGGGTCTCCTCCAGGAGCGGGAGGTGCCATCGGTTCATCTCAAGCTACACCAAAAGAGATGACAGCTGAGGTGTAATCTCACAGGTTTTCCCCATACGGGATTTTTTTTTAACTGCAATAATGTTTGTTTGGGTTATTTAATTTAGCACCTTTAAATTGGGTGGGTTGCTTTCTTCTCCCTCTGCTAGCCTGAATATTCATGGGTATAAATGCAGTTAAATGTTTAAGAAAATATTTCCCAATTTAATTTATTCTCTTCATACCTATTTCTCTTTCATCCTACCAGGAATTATCTTTGGTCCCAGAATACCCTCACTACTTTTTTTCCCCACTCTCATCTCATCCCTCCAGGAGCCACCACAGGAGGTTTCAGTCTTCTGAAATGAAGATGAGGTGACAGCCCTTTAAAAATCAAATGGAGAATTTACTTTATGCCAGA